TTTTTTTTTTTTTTTTTTTTTTTGTTTTTAGAAAATTTTCTATTTATTAGTTTCCTGTTAAATATTTTGTTTGAATATTAAAAACTTAATTTAAAAAAAAATTTTTTTTTTTTAATTTCTCATTTAGTAAAGGAATAAAAAAAAAAAATTATAAATTACCATATAAAAATATTCATATAAGTATATATTTAAAAAAAAAAAAAAAAAAAAAATATTAAAACATTTTTACAATTTCAATTTTGTTTTTTTTCATTTTTGTTCTTAAATGTAGTTATAACATTTTAATGTTTTTTTTTTTTTTTTTTTTTTTTTTTTTTTCATTTAAACTTAATTCAAGTTTTGAATAATTTTAAAAAAATTGTTGAATTAATAACATGAATTAAAAATGAATAAAATTAAAAAATAAATATATAAAACAAAGAACTTTAAGTACATAATTATGTAAATTTTTTATAGCTTTTTAATTAAATATATCATAATTAAAAAAAATTATTAAATATTATGCATTTTTTATTGGTTCTTTTTAAAATGTAGTTATTTCTATAAATAAATTATTGTTATTAATTTTTTCGTAATGATATAAAAATTAAGAAATAAATTAGTATTATAAAAATGGAATTTTATAAACAAACAAAAATAGAGACCTTTATTTTTTTAATAAATGAAATTAATAAGTAGATAAAAAGAAAAATATTAAATAAATTAAAAAAAAAATGATTTAATAAAACAAAAATATCTATGCAAATGACTAACTTATATTTTATAACCGTACTTCCTATTCACATACTTATGCAAAAATGCAAAAATAATAATATTATTATTATTAAAGAGTAAAATTTTAATAATAAATATGTATATAAAAATAATTGTAATAATTATTATGATTATTATTATATTTTTAATAACCATATACATATATACGTATTTACATGTGTATATATATAACTTTATTTTAGAATTTTCCGAAAAAGGAAAGTGTTTGTTTTTATATTTCAATATATTATTTTATTATGTTTTTGTTTATTAAATACTATTATTTTAAAACATTATTTTTAAATATTTATTAATATTGTTATTCTTTGTTTCAAAATATAAAAAGGATTTTTTTTTTAACAAAATATATGTATATTTATTTATAATATTATGCATATTTCCTTTTTTATAATTAATATTTTGGCATAATTTATTCTTTAAAAAATTAAGAATTATCGTTATGCTTCTTTTTATTAATTATTTTTCTCTTTTTTTTTTTTTTTAAAAAATGTCTTTCGAATCTTTCACTTTAATGGAAACTGATCAAAATAAAAAAAAGAATTACGATTATAATGATGAAGACTATAATGATGAAGATATGTTAAATAGTGATGGTTATGAGAGAGATCTTTATACATTTAATATAAAAAATAAATTAGTAAATCGATGTAAAAAGATAAAAGTTGATTTAGATAATAAATCCAAAAAAGAAAATTCTTTCAATAATTCTACTTTTATTAAAAGAGAGAGAAGTATGATAAATGATGACAATGAATTACGAAATAGAGGAAGAAGTTCTATGTCTCATAAAAATGAACCAAAAACAAAATTAGAAGGAATATTAAATGAAAATGATTATTTAATTCAATTAAATAAATTAAAAAGACATGTTGTAGTTGAAATATTTGGAGGTAAATGTTTTATAAGAGAATATTTATGTACTGAATTTTTAAGAAGAATAAAACAGTGTTGCCATATAAACTATGTAAAATATAATATTGGTTTAATAAATTATCGTGATTGTAAACAATTATTAGGTGAAAATAATAACATTGCAAGTATAGAAGTTCGATTAAATTCTATTTTAATATCTTTACCTCCACTAACATGTGTAATTTTGCATTCAAGTATATTTTTAGTAATTAAAGAAGATTTAATAAGAGATGATTTAATTAAAAAATTGTGTGCAGTTTCGAAAAAATATACAAATTTATATAAAACTGATATAAATATGTTAGAAAGTAGGCCATTTGAATTTTGTGCATTAGAATGTGTATTTTCAAGCGCTCTTGAACATTTAAATGCAGAAATGAAATTATTAAATAAAGATTTTGGAGAAATTAAATTTTCTTTAAAAATTAGCAAATATCAAGAAATTTTAAGTAATTTACATAATTTAAAAGATCCAACAAATTTGCTAGTAGACAAAGTAAATTCTTTTATTAAAGCATTTCATGAAATATCAGTAAATAATGCAGATTTAAAAAAAATGGAATTAACAAAATATTATTTTAATCCAAATGCCAATGAAGAAGATAATAAAGATCATACCAATCAAGATTTAGAAATGCTTTTAGAATATTTTGATCAAGAACTTCATCAAATACATGATCAAGTCAAACATTTATATGAATCTATAATTAATTTAGAAAACAGAATATATCTTGATTTATCACTATCTAGAAATAACTTAATTAGGATGGATATCGTTATCAGTTTGATTAATTCAGGATTTGGTATAGGAACTTTAATAACAGGTATTAATTACTATGTATCATCTATATGTCATTTTTTTTTTATTTTATTTTTAAGCAAAAATGTAGTTCGTTTAAAAAGATATTACACATATATATAATGAATATATTAAAAAAAAAAAAAAAAAAAAAAAAAAACAATAATAATAATATGATTTTTTTCTTTATAGGGATATTTGGTATGAATTTGAAAATATTTCTTGAAAAAAATGATTATGCATTTGGTTATGTTACTGGTCTTGTAATATTATTATGCTTACTGACAGTAATAATGTCTATTTATTTTTTTAAATGTATTCGACTTTAGCTTTAGGTGAGTTTTATATATTAAATAAATTTATTTAAAACATTTAATAAATATTAAAATTAATAAATTACAAATATATATTATAATATGAAAATATCTTGTATTATTTATTATAATTTTGTTAAATTTGAAGATATTTTCCATATAATTTATTAAATAGCTAAAATTTAATGTATATTTTTAAATTACACACAAATTAAATAGAGTAATAAAAAGAATTTAAAATGTCATATTAGTTAATATATTTTCTTTTTTATACTATTATTTTAATTTTTTCAGTTATTTCTTTATTAAAATTAAATTATATGTTTCCTTTTTCATCTTGCTAATTCTCTATTAAATTAAATACATTATTCTTTTTAGTATTTTTATTTATTTATTTTTTTTTTTTAATATTTATAATTCTTTCTAATTTAAAGCACTTCCTACCTNTTTATTTATATGTTTTATCTTTATT